CTCCAAGTCCATGGGGCATGCCACCAGGACATCATTCCTCAGTGGGCAGAGCCTCCGCCTGTCCCCAATGCCACACACACACACATGCACACACACACCACAAACACATATACACATACACCATAAACACATACACACACCATAAACACATACACCAAACATACACACATACACACACCAAACACACATATACACACCAAACATAAACATACAAACATACACACACCACACACACATACCAAACACATACATACACACCAAACATACACACACACATACATACACACATACACACCAAACATACACACACACATACATACACACATACACACCAAACATACACACACACACACACACACACACGAGTTCTGCTGCCTCCACTCCAGTCAGCAACCTGGGCTGGGCACAGGCAAGAGGGGCCGTCTCTGTGTGTGTGCTTGGGAGTGTCCCACACATATTTCACTGGGTGTGGGGAACAAGGTACCCTGGCCCCCTCAGCTCTGGGTGGGTCTGTGCCTGGCCCTGCTGACTTCTGCCCTGAGATGAAGCTGTAGACACAGCCTGTGGCATGTGTCTTCCTTGGGTCCCTGTTTGCACACCCAGCATCCCACCCAACCTGAAGAGAAGATGAAGAGGCCCAGTCAGCCCCCAAAATTTGGTGTTTCCAAGGTCGTTCAGGTGGACTGTGCAGCACCGCCCAAGGACTGCTAGGAGATGGAGTGTGGTGGAAATTCTGCACACCAGGGGGCTGGGAACCAAGTTCTGCTGTGGCCATAACCCTGTGGCCTTAATGACAAAGCACCTGCTAGGTGCCTCCCACGGCAGCAGGTGATCAGGCCAGAGGCACTGTTTGCCCACCAGGCCCTTTCTTCCACTTCTTCACGCCCAGCAGCCTAGAGACTACCTCCCATTTGGACTCCCCGGCCCTCAGGCTTTCAGGTGGCTTGGCCAATGGGATGGGCTGACAGGAGTCTGGGCAGTGGGGAGGAGCAAGAGGCCAGGGTAATTATTCCCCCAGCATCCTGCCTCTGAAGCTTCTGCCTTTAGCCACAGCCCCGCCGATCCTGAAGACTACTCTGTCCCTACCCCTGGAGCCCAGGACTGAAAACAGCTGTGCTTCACCACCCCTTGTTGGCGGGCTAGAACCCGCAGCTCTGTAAGTAGTCCCCTGGTTAAACTCTTCCAGCTGCAGCTTTCCCGGTGCATGCTGTCAGTTTCCTGCCAGGAGCTGGACTAATCTAGCACTTGACAAATGTTCCTTCATTAAATCCTGCCACGTACCAGCTTGGGATCCAGCCGATGACACAGGGTGGCCAGAATGTCCCTGCCCTTCTCTCCAGGGGCCCAGTCAGTGAGAGGAGGAGGAACTAGAGTCCAGGTCTCCTGCCTCCCAGAGCAGGGCTCCTGTCACTCCACTCCCTGGGGCTTCTTGGGCCTGAGATCTTGAGACAAGTCCGGTGGTGGAGGAGGCCTTGAGCAAGAGGGGCTTGAATCCTCTCTTCCTGGTGGCACCCATTCACTAGAGCAGCAGGTGTCCCAACAGCACCAACTAACCAGCGTGGGTGGAGGGGCCAGGACGGCAGGTTCCCAGGCACCTGCAGCATCAGTGAGTATGCAGCTCCTGGCTTCCCACGGGCGCCACCATCAGCACTCAGGGGCTGTGTGTAACACTGCCTCCCCCTTTGCCAGCTTATAGGTGACAGAGGCTTCTGTAGTCACTCACCGCTGGGTAACTACTCCCTTTTTTGTCCTTCACACACTTTCGTAATCAATCCCTTATATTTAAATTCCTTCTATTGGAAACACCTAGAGTGGTTTCTCTTTTACTTTATTTTTTTTTGAGACAGGGTCTCTCTCTGCTGCCCAGGCCGGAGTGCAGTGGTGCAATCTCAGCTCACTGAAACCTCCGCCTCCCAGGTTCAAACGATTCTCCTGCCTCAGCATCCCGAGCAGCTGGGATTACAGGTATGCACCACCATACCCAGCTAATTTTAGTATTTTTAGTAGAGATAAGCTGTTCTCGAACTCCTGACCTCAGTTGATCCACCTGCCTCAACCTCCCAAAGTGCTGGGATTACAGGCGTGAGCCACCAGGCCCAGCTGTTTTCGTTACTAGTCACTCACTGTTATCTCAACTCTGTCCTTAGACATAGCTCACTCTAAAACCAGAATGCATGTTAAAGACAAAGTAAGATTACTCACTACTGAATTCCATTGTTGTGATTTTTTTTTTTTTTTTTTTGAGACGGAGTCTCCCTCTGTTGCCAGGCTGGAGTGCAGTGGCGTGATGTCAGCTCACTGCAACCTCCGCCTCCCAGGTTGAAGCAATTCTCCTGCCTCAGCCTCCTGAGTAGCTAGGACTACAGGTACACACCACTATTCCCGGCTTTTTGTATTTTTAGTAGCGACAGGGTTTCACTATATTGGCCAGGATGGTCTTGATCTCTTGACCTCGTGATCCTCCCTCCTCGGACTCCCAAAGTGCTGGGATTACAGGCGTGGGCCACCACACCTGGCCTTTTTTTTTTTTTTTTTTTTTTTTAAGAGACAGGGTCTCACTGTCACCCAGTCTGGAGTGGAGTGGCACAGTCTTTCACTGCAGCCTCAACCTCCTGGACTCCAGCAATCCTCCCATGTCAGCCTCCCAAACAGCTGAGACTACAGGTGTGTGCCACCATGCCAAGCTAACTTTTTAAAGTTTTTTGTAAAGATGGGGTTTGGCCATGTTGCCCAGGCTTGCAATTTATAGAGCTCCAGATGCTCTCATTTGTAGCGGCTTCTGATAAATTCCACACTATGGCCAGAAGATGGCAGCAAACCACCAGCTTCGCCCATTCACCTACAGCCCAGGACACCAGCCCAGGTTTCCAAAATCTGAGCTTCACATTCCTAGACCTGCAGAGGTACTCTTTGTGGTCACCTGGACAACTGGCAAACCATCCTATTTCTTTACACGTGCATATATCATCCAGATAACCCAAACTCTTACCAATAAAACCCCAACATCACAACCAGGGCATAAATTCTCTATCAAACATCATGGTGATATCCTTATCTTCAATTTTTGGTAAACATTTGGAATTGGATAAACTATCATCCCTAAGTAAGACAGAACACTTTTAAAGAGAGATCCATAAAACATCACCAGTCAGCTGACCTAGGCGGTTTGAGTGTATTTGTTCTTTGATGTGCCATCCTAAGGGAACCTGGTGGGGGAAACACATGCATCAGCAGCCATTGGTGCACAGCAGAGCAGCCTACCACAGCCAGGTTCCCTGTAACCCCCAGCTCCACCCAGAGCCACCTGTTGGCACTGGCCAGTGGGATCCAGAGTCCTGACCATTTGCAGGGTTTCAGGCGGCTTCTAAGATTTCCAACATTCATCAGCATACATTCAGCTGTTATCTTAATTAGCACATGATTCTTTCAGTATCAGAAAATTAGTAAAAACACAGAACTCCTGGATCATCTAATCATTTGAATAATTACTCCAATTTTGAAGTTGGTGAAAGCGCTTTTAAATAAAGCAAATCACTCCATAAACGCCTTAAGGAGTCCTGGGTGGTAATGAGAAACAAAGGCCCTTTGTATGTGAACAGGTTTGTGGAAAATGTAATAATGAAGGCACACTTTTGCAGTCTTGATTAAAAAAAGTAGGAAAAGATTGATCAAAATGAATTACAAATGTTCCACGCTGAAATAGGGCCATGGCCCAGGTAAGTGATCACAAATTCTTGCTGGTGTTGGAATCTCCATTCTTGGTTGTGGTTTGGAATGAAGACAGAATTTCCTCTTACTATGCCAGGTTTTTCTTCTTTATGTCTGTTATGATAACAATGTTCTGTGCCGGCCGAGCCATGACTCAGTGAGTGACTCAGAGCAGGTTCGTTACTCACCCCTCCCATGGGCACATGGCCTCCCTCCCCCAGGAGGCTTCTGGAACAGAGGCATGGCTCTGTCGAGGTCTGTGATGTTGGCCAAGGCTGCTTCCCTCTGTGCCTGCTTGAATTCCACCCCAAACTGGATTTCCCATCTGCCCTGCTCCCTGAGATGGTCAAGATGGAGATCAATTCCACGGTTTGGCCAGAGCAGCCAATGGAGGAGAGTTAGGACCATTCTGGGTGGCTATGAAAACCTGGCCAGAGCATCCAAGCTCACATGCTCCCAAATGATGGCACCTGGCTGCTGACCTCACTGTGGTCCCCACATCCAGCAGAAATGGGAAAGGGACATTGGAGCCACTGCAAAGAATAGCAACTATGACCACCCCTGGCACAGACAAGACCAACATGGCTCTTTAGGGACAAGGACTCTGTAGACGGCTTTATTTAGGGCCAAAAAGAGGCAGGGGATAGGAGTCCTCCTGGAATTCTATCAGTCTCTGCCTCTTAAACACTCATTGAAGACCCCTGAGGGGAGGATGGAGTGTGTGCCAGGTGGGAGGAAACACTGAGGGTCGCTGAGTTATGGAGAGTAAGCAGAGGGCCAAAGGGATGAGCCCTCTGAAGGCCTCAAGGCTGAAGGGCCCTCCTCTCATCTGCCAGGCATAGCTGCCACCCTATCTCATCTGTTCCATGGGGGGCTGGCCTTCTGCTGAGGCTGATGGTGGTCTCAGTCAAGAGGATTATCAACCCCCTGCCCTACAGACCCAGCTAGCAACATGAGACCAGATAAGACAGTCTCCAAGCTTACCTCCAGCTACCAATTAGGAAAAACCATATAAGACAGCTTTCATGCAGGCAGTCAGTTTAGGAGCTGGCCCCAGGAGGCCCTGATTTGGAAATCAACACAGAAACCCTAAGTCCAGGAACAGGACTATGAAAAACGGTCCTTGAGACCCCCTCTGCTTACAGTTGCCTGTAATGATGTCATCCTTTCCTAGTCCCTTTCAAGACAAATAGAACATGAGCGGAGAAGTGAGGATACGCAAACTGCAGATAAAGTGGGCCCCCTTGAAGAAACTGTAGACCCCTCTATCTCAGCCACCAACCCTGCCCCAGATGCGCTTCTTACTTCACAGAAGCTGTGACCCCCACCAGGCCCTGCTCAGGGGTCAAGGAGCGCCTCAGCCAGTCCTGCAGTCTGGGATATGATGGGGAGACCATGAGACTCTCCCAGGGTGCAGACACCACCTCCCCCTGGTACCTGCCAGGCATAGCTGCCACCCTCCTAGTAGCAAGGGGCTGGGCCAGGCTCACACATCAGATTCTGTGCAGTGTTTTGGCCTTTAATTAAGAGCTGGGTCAATGGAGCCATCACTCTCCCCAAGACCCCCCTGCAGCAGATGGCCCTCACCATGGCTGTGAGGCAGGGCAGCCTGTGGCAGCCAGCCCTGCTGAGGGGTCCGTCTGCAGTGGCCTAGGAGAGGTGTTTATCTCTTAGACCTAGAATGTGGCAGCAGCAACAAGGCCAGAGGCAGCTCAACTGAGGTCAGGGATGGTGGAGGAGGCAGACAGAAGCGTGGGGCACTCCTCCTTCCTCTCTGAATCCCAGTGGGGCCAAGGCCAGTGTTCAGAAACAGTACAGTCTCCCCAGGGGCCTGGAGGCTCTTGCCACTCTCCGGAAGCCCTTAGTCCCCAACTCCCTGCAGACTGGTGTCACAGGGTTGCTGGGTTCGGGGAGCAGGCTGGGTACCACCCCATGAGCCTTGAGGCCCCAGGGCCTGGGAGGTGGATCCAGCAGGCCTGAGGCCAGAGCCACCAGGAGACGGGGAGTCACCTTCCACTAACTCTGCTTGTCAGTCACTACAGGCACCTAAGAGGGTGGCCTCTCCCACAAGCTTCCAGGGCTGCCCCGGCCAGGCTGAGGCAATAGCAGGTTGTAGCTCCTGGGTCCCTATAGATCTGTGACCTTGTTTTCCACAGCAGCTGCGATCTGCTGGAGCCGATATCCCAGCTGCATCTTCTGGGCCGTACCATCCTCCTCCAGGGCAGTGATGATCTGAAACAGAGACAGATGCCATCAGGGGAGACTTCTCTGGCCAAAATGTTTGCTGCAGAATTAAATAGGCCTCCTAAAACACTGTAGCACGAGTGGGGTAGTAGGCCAAAAAACCCAGCTAGTCGCTTCGTGTACTTTCTGTGACCTCGGGGCCTCATCGGCGGGAGGGATAACAATATCAAAGCCACGTGGGGTTTCAGAATTAATAAGGTAGGAAATGAAGGACTTTACTCTGTGCCGAGCCCCTCAGAAGCCCTGCTGCAGCCATCCTGGCTCACCCACCCACCAAGCAACAGCATTTCCCAAGTTCCTGTCTGCCAGGTGTCAGACGAGGGACAGAGACCCAAGAATGACCAGACACATGTGGTGGGAAAAAGACATTGATCAAACACGAATCACAAATTGGGGGCTACCACAAAGGGAACCGGTAGGAACTGGGAGGGCAGCAGCACTTGGGAAAACAGCCCTTGCCCACCACGTCTCCACAAAGGGACACGCCTGCATTGTATCCTGCCTCCCCCACGCCCCATGCCATGGCCCACACCATGCCCAGGAAGGCTGTGGGCCCATGAGGCAGGTTCCTCATCTCTGAGCAGCAACAGCCATGTTACTGGTGCCACACAAACATCTAAGTGGACTATTCCAACAGGCACCCAGTAGGTTCACTGGCAGGTGCTCAGATCTTCAGGCCCAGCCCAAGGATCCTCCAAAAAGCTTCAGCACCTCCATGGTACCCTCATGGCCCTGGTCCTGTGCCTGGACTCTCCTCTTGGCAGCTCATGTGGCCAAGCCAGGCCTGCACCTGCATGTTGGCCGTGCCCAACATGCTGCCAACTCAGCAGATACACACCATCTCCAAGCCCTGGTAGGCCCCTCAGACCCCACAACCATCAGCACTGTGCCTTGCCGCCCTGCTGGGGAACTGGAATAGGGAGTCGTGGGATGGGTGAGAGCACAGCCAATACCAGGAAGCCCACCTGGAGAACACTTCCCAAACCACAAGAGGCCCAGCCCTCCGCTATGCTGTCCCTGGGGGAGACCAAGGCCCCCACCGTGAGTCAAAGGGCCAGAGCATGATTCTGCTCTGGTCTAACTCAAGCCTCCTGGGAGGCCTTGGGTCAGCCTCCCAGTTGGGGCCCAGGGCCTGCCCACCTGGTCATAGTATTTGTTGATGTACTTGTAGAGTTCATGCAGGGCCACTCGCGCCCCAAGGTCTCCGGAGTAGTTCTAAGGAAGAGGCCAAATGAGAGGTGAGAGAGATGAAGGCTGCAGCCAGCCACAGGAGGTGGCCCAGGACCCCAGGGAAGGGATGGGGGAGAAGGGGACCTCAGAGGTAGAGAAAGGGATGAGCCTTGCAGTGGGAAGCAGAGTCCCCTCCAAGGCCCAGGGACCCCGGGCCAGGCATTCCCAGCTGGGGACACAACAGGGCAGGGCAAGGGGGCCTCCTTACTAGGAAGACAGCCCAGGTCTACCTGCTTCAGCAAGGTCTGGGGTTTCTACTCTCACCCCCTCAAGGTTCTAGCCCAGGCTCTCTGCCACCAGGTGACTTCAGAGCCAAGTGGCACAGATGCTGCTTGCAGGCTGACAGCCTGGCATGATTCTACTCTGGTCTAACTCAAGCATTTCCTGAGGTCACTCTCAGGCCCCTCCGTGGGACCATCTCTGAGCCTCAACTTCCTCACCTGGTCGATGGAGTTGGTGTCACCTAACTTGTGGAGTTCTTGTGAGGATCAAATAAGACAATCAAAGCACCCCATGAAGGGCTTCACACACAACACCCCAAAAGCACAGCTGCTATGAGTATTGCGGTTGTCATCATCATCATTTCAGAAACATTGCTCATAAACTCCCTGCAGTTACACTTTTGGGCTGTTTTAGGAGTGGGAGGGGTAGAGGGGACACCTGTGCCACCAAGGGAGGCACAGCAGTGGGAAAATGCATGCAGGCATACCCAGGCAGGCCTGGGGCCAAATCCCAGCTACCTTGAAAGCGCCTGGCTGAGTCAGGGTACATGGCAGCTGCCAGGACAAGACACCTGCTTGCTCTGTGATGAGATGGTGGGGACCCTGGTCTTTCAGTGGCAGTTGGAACATTCTGCACTTATGTGTCCTGCCCCAACCAGCTCACAGGGCTACTGAGGTTCCCAAGGGCTTCCCTGCAAAGGGGCAGTGTGAAGGGGGCAGGACCATTGTGGCAGGAGGCCACACCTAAGAAGCAGAGGGAGGCCTTACCCAGGACAGCTCAGCCAGGACAGAGTTCATCTCTTGGTCGCTGGCTGGGACAGTCTGTCTGATGTCTGCATAGTACCTGCCAGAAAGCCAGGGCACAGCAGCTGCTGGGTAAACAAGCCCACCCCCCTGACCCCACCAAAGCCCACCCTCTGGGCCTCAGCTGCACACACCCTCCGGGCCTCAGCTGCATACACCCTCCAACCTCTACCCATCTCGCCCTCCAGTACCTTTCCACCATCCGCTTGTACCGGGGGATGTCCCGCGCATACAGAAGTTTGTTGATCGGGGAGTCCTGGACACAGCAGGAGGACAGCAAAAGAGGAAGGAAGGAAGGAAGAAAGGAAGGAAGGAAGGAAGGAAGGAAGGAAAGAAGGAAGGATGAGGGCCCCTGTTTAGGTGACCAAGTGTCCTGGGTTTCTCAGCACTGCTTCCGTTCGGAAAATGAGGAAGCCTGAGTCCCAGAAAACCAGGACAGGTGGTCACCCTAGCCTACTTCCGTCCACAAGAGCCTCCTCTGCTCCCTCCCCTCCACCAACGTCCAGTCTCTGATGTCATCGGAAATCATTTCTCAGCTCCACATGCCTCCGTCTAGATCCAGCAAAAGGTGAGTACGCAGGGCAAGAAGCATACGGTTCACTCCCGGGATCATCATTTTAAAAATCAGCAAACTGAGACCCAGAACATTACCTACGGTACGGGAGTAAAATGGGTGGAGGGGACACCCGTGCCACCAAGAGAGGCACAGCAGTGGGAAGATGCAGCAAGCAGACCACCTCCCTCCCCGGTAGCTGAGCTCAGGTTTGAAGCAGGTCTGTCCAGTCAGTTCCCACCACTTTAACACACCCAGACACAGCCTCTACCACTGAACTGGGTTCAGTCCAGCAGCCATGGGCTCTGGGCAGCATACTTCTTTTTTCTGAGATGGAGTCTTGCTCTGTTGCCCAGGCCAGAGTGCAGTGGCACGATCTCGGCTCACTGCAATCTCCGCCTCCTAGGTTCGAGCGATTCTCCTGTCTCAGCCTCCTGAGAAACGGGGACTACAGGCGCCCACCACCACACCCGGCTAATATTTGTATTTTTAGTAGAGACGAGGTTTCACCATATTGGTCAAACTGGTCTCAAACTCCTAACCTCAGGTGATCTGCCTGCCTCGGCCTCCCAAAGTGCTGGGATTACAGGGCTTGAGCCGCTGCGCCCGGCTGGGCAGCATACTTCTATTCTCATGCCCTCTCCTCATCCTAGAGCTGCTGAGAAGGTGAGAAATATCTCGAGGTAACACTGTCCCCTGTGAGCAGGGACCCAAGACCAGTTCCTCCGATGACCTGAGTCAGGATTTTTGCCTTCTCGACAACTCCCCATGAGGGGACCCCTTGGCACTCCTGATTCAGACTACTCCTGAGCTACCCAGGAGCCATTTGCTGTTCTGCTGGGAAAGGGTGGTACTGGGAAGATCTGGCAAAAGTTCCAGCCACCACATAGGGTCCAGCCTGGAGGTGGCCCTCCAGGTCCTGGTGTGGCACTTTGGTTCTTAGCTCATTATAGGCATAATGATGACAGCATGTGGAACAAAAATGGCTCCCAAAAGACAGTGCTTCCATTTTGGACAGAACTTTCCGTTTCTGTTTTTGGTTTGAGACAGGGTCTCGCGCTGTTACCCAGGCTGAAGTACAGTGAATGGCGCATTCATGGCTCACTGCAGCTTCAACCTCCCAGGCTCAAGCCATCCTCCCACCTCAGCCTCCCGAGTAGCTGGGACCACAGGTGCACACCACCACTCCTGGCTAATTTTCATATTTTTTGTAGAGATGAGGTTTTGCCATGTGGCCCAGGCTGATCTCAAACTTCTGTGCTCCTCAGGTGGTCCACCCACCACAGCCTCCCAAAGTGCTGGGATTCTAGGCGTGAGCCACTGTACCCAGCTAATTTTGATTTTTCCCAGAGGGGTAAGGATGTATCTCTCAAGAGGTCCCAAGCCAACTGAGACCTGTGGGTCTAGGCTAAGCAGAGCCCCACTCACGGACCTGCAGAGTCACACGAGGGCCCTGCCCGCTGGGCGTCTGAGCAGACACCCTGGGGACCCCATATGTCAGGGGACTCCCGGCCTTGACTGCTATGACAACAGACTCCCAAACTCTGTGCTCCTGGATGGCTCAGACCACTCAGTCTCCTGTGCTTCCCAGCTCCCCTCCGCGCACGTCCCTCAAACCATGACACCCCCTGGACTCTCTTCCCTACTTCCCCACTGGCAGGCAGACACCTCCAGCACCCTAAAAAATCAAACCCACCCAGCAGCCCGGAGCTGCTCCAGGATTGAATAATTCGTGTCTGTACCTGGAAACCCCACAAACACCAGACTCACCTCCTCCAAGTCTAAGCTTACCATAGCCAGAGGCCCAGGGATATGTGACCCCTTCTTCTTCCTCATCCCCCACATCCAACCTTCAGCTTCTGCCTGCCCTGCACCCTCCTGCTC